TGTTAGAGGCACCCATGGCTTCTCACAGCCTAGAGAATAAATTCCTGAGCACATTCTTTAAGGCTAGCCATGTGCAAATTGATACACCATGATGAGGACCCCCTGTCCTCCAACTTGAGTTCCATGCACAGCCTCACAGGGGGTGAGCCATTCCTAGGACAAGCTTGGCTTCTCTCCTGCAGGCCTGCTCACCCATTATCCACTACAGGCATCCCTGTGCTTCCCTCCATGTGTTGAAATCTTGCTCTTCTTGAGGTTTCACTTTCTTATTTGGGGGGTGGGGAGGACTGAGAATTTGATCTCAGAGTCACTTAACCGCCGAGCCACATCCCTAGACCTTTTTATTTATTTATTTATTTTGAGATGGCATCTTGCTAAGTTGCTTAGGGCCTCACTAAGTTGCTGAGGATGGCCTCAAACTTGTGATCCTCCTGCCTCAGCCTCTTGAGCTGCTGGGATTACAGAGGTGTGCTAACATGCCCAGCTAGGTTTCACTTTCTAAAGAAAAGCTCTGCTTTCATTTTCATAGGTAACACCCTTCTCTGGTTTCTACAAGCATCTTATCACTCCATTGTATAACAGACTTTTAAGATAGAATATAACTCTGCAGGCAATCTTTTCTTACCACCCAGTTTTAATAAGTGGCTATTTATTATCTGCCTCTCCTCTGAGAACTCTTTCAGGATGAAACTTATCTAATTAATATCTCTTTTTTTTCCTATTATTAGTCTTCATTTGTGACACACTGTGGTGGAAGTCGGTAGGTACTTAATGAAATAATAAGTTACTTTTTGTATCCTGAAGTCACAGAAAATTATATTACTCACATGTTACACAAAATTTCCCTCCTAATTTAGACTAAAGAAGTGTGGTTTTGTGGAATTAATTTTTTCTTAGGCAGTTTGGAGAAAGTACATTCTAGTTTTAACTATGCTAGTAGTGGAATGTGTAATTGCTTAAGTTTGTGAAGGGCTTTGGATTTTCTTGTTTTGCAGTAAAACAAAGATGTAGATAGTCTCCAGACTTCCTTTTAGCTCAAAACTTATAATTCTAGAAACAATATGGTCACCTTTAAAGAAAGACAAGAATGGAAATGGGATGGGGGAAAGATGCAGATTTTGAAAAGAATCCACATGTGAGGAAAATGTCAACTATTTTAGACTGCCATATTAATTTATTATTCTACTGAGGGTAAAATTTAAAATATTAATTCAAATCATAGGCTAAATATATAAGTGTTCACAAGAAACATACTTATACCTACAACATAGAAGCAAAATGACCAAATACCACTATTTTTTTTCCCCTTGCGAAAGGTGAATGAAATCACATATGTCAAGAAGATAAGGGACATGGCATACCCAATAGCACACAGCCTCTGAAATCAACAGGAATGTGAAATCAAACACAAGTGCAATCTCGGAGGATATTTAGTCTCCCCAACATTGTTATGGCACAGGATTTGACAGTCACTGAATTTATGACAACATGCTACCAATAAAAGAGTTTGAATATTCAGATCCCCTAATTAAATAAAAATGCCATTTGCTTTATGGATATCGTCACTTACTTGAATGAAATAATTCACAAGCGTAAATACAGTCTCTTGGGAGTTCAAGACGTAATCCATTAAATACATAAAAGGGAAAAACAGGCAGTACAGCGGCCAGTCCACCAGCACCTGCCCGAGCCAGTAGGCAGAAGGAAAGAGGCCCGAAATCCGCAGCAGCGACCTCACGCTGTTCTGGTTAGGAGAGAGCAAAGACGCAAGAGGACCTTTCAGCCTGAGTCTTCAGATAACGCGGGCCAGGTTGGAGACTGTGGAAACAAACCCCTGATTTGTGGTAGCTCTGGATCATGGCTCTGGACTGAAGGGTGCGGATTATTTGTGGACACCAATGTCCAACTGCTGCTTTAATGAAGGACACTAATATGGAACACGACAAAGACCTCAGAATAATCGAGGCTAGAGGGCTGCGTGGACGATGGGTGACCTCGTGGCTCAGAGGGCAGGGGGAGGTGGAGTCCACCTGTCTCAGCCGCTTGCTTCCCACCAGGGACTCCTGTTCTGTCCCTCTGTGAAGTTATGCTTAGGTACTATGCATTATTATTATGCTTAGGTAGGATGCAGTATTAAACTATCACAGTTTTCAAACACCCAGAAAACATTCATAATTAAATGTGTCTTGATTAATTACATATACCATATAAGACATTCCCATATATTATATAATAGTATTAGTATGTTGATTATACATTATACCTAGTAGTATATAATACATATATAATTTTTTGTAACATATAATGTATACAGCAATATATAATTTCAATATAAATATATAATTACTGTGGACACTGTATTAATTATAAAGTTTATAAAATTCTTATATCATATATTGGGTATAAGTTATGTAATTAATATTATTAAGCTATCACCATGTTAATTATCACATATTATTAGTATTGTTACATATCATACATAATTAAATATATTTTAATTATACATTGTGTATAGTATGCATGCTATATACCATTAAATATAGTATGCATGCTGTACACCATTAAATATAGTATTGTATTTTATATACTTTATACATTTCATATAGAAGTATATGATCACATATGTCACATGTAATTATAGGTATATAATTGCTTTATGCTTTCATCTGAATAAAAGAAGTGAGGGTGGTTCTGTCATAGTCCACATTCACACACTCACTACCCATCCAAATATATATGTATATGTTCATAAAAGAAAATCATAAATATAAATGTAATCTGTATTTCTGGTCATTCTCTGAAAAAACACATAAAATTATGTATTTTAAAACTACATGTCAATTGATGTGATTTTAGCACACTTATACATTGAACTATTCTAGTAATATGGAATCATTTTTTTTTTTTCATTTTAAAAAACATCTAAATTCAGGTGTTGGTGGGCTCTGACTAGTTAGGTGATGCTCCTAACTAATTTGTAATGTGATCTGAAAATTCATATCAAAGTCTCCCAACATCACACAGGTCCATTCAGGTGGGAGAATGGATCAGGACTTGGTGATTGACTAGATACACTGGGACGAGAGGAAGGAAGGATCACCTTGGGTTGCTGGGAGGGTGACAGAACACCTGGTACTTCTGTTGAAGAACACAGAAAATAGGAAGGGGTGATGTGTTTAAGGAAAGAAATCCCAAATTCCGTTTTGCAAGCATGAAATTTGAGACTTCTCTGATACTTAAAAAGGAAATGCTGAGAGGGAATCTAGAGTCACATTGAAGGTCAAAATAGAGGTCAAATTAGAGATGGTTCATGGAGTCCAATCTGTGAGTGAGCAGCAGGGAGGGAGGATTCGAAACCCTAGTGGTAGGTGAGCTTAGCTGGGAGACAATAGCATTGATCATGAGAAGGATGCCCCGAGCTGAGAGCTGAGGATTTCCCAACTTATACAGAGGGGTAAAAACCTCCGAAGAAACAGAGAAATGACAGACAAGGTCTTAGGATAAAGACGGTGAAATTGTGGTACAGCCAAAGAAAATTCCTTCTGGCGGTTTCCTTAGGAGAAGTCTTAAAGTCTGGACAACATTAACTCCAGAGTGACTGACTGCTCTCTCACACCTGGGAACAGCATCTCTTAGGATTCCTGCAGATTCTGCCCTTGAAAGGGAACAGAACATGGGGCGTGTTCTCTTCTCCTGGGCAACAGAACTAGTTTGGGAGAGGCAGGAAGTGAAGCAGAGGAAGGAGAGGAAACAGGGATCCTTCTGCAAGGTCTCATGGATTTTATATAATAGAGTAACAAAAATGGAATGTTAAAATATATTCTATGGCAATCTGTGACTAAACTAATGAGCGTTAGCCTGAGATGGTCATATAAACGTGCCACCCTATGACTGCCCTTCAAGACTTGACTACTGAATCAGAATCTTCATTTTAGCAGGATGCTCGGGTGATTTGTAGACACATAAACCATTCATTTGGGTGAATGAAAAACTGTGAATCAGAATTTACAAATTGTCAGCTCAACACTGGAGTTTAACTTTCTACATTCTGACTTTTCCAATGTGTCATTTCCTCCTACTTCAACACTGACTTTCCAGTTAACTTTTTTGAAGTATAGTTTTTAAACAAGAATAAGTACCCATAATAAATATGCAGCTGCATGAGGCTTGATGAATGCATATATTCATTCACCACAACCATCAAGGCCTGGAGCATTTCCACTGTTCTCCCAAATTTCTTGTGCTCCTTTCAAAAGCCTTTATTACTGGTTACAAAAAAAACCCCAAACAAAGCAAAAACCAACCAACCAAACAAAAAACCCACAAACATGCCTTTAGTCACTATAGGTTAAATGAAATTTCACTTAAATGAAATCCTTTAGTATTTTCTCTTTTGTGTCTGTCTTCATTCTTGGTTCTGAGATTCCTCCACATCAATGGATTTATTATTTTCTCTTCTTTTACATTGCTGAGTAATATTCTATCATATGGCCATACCAGAATTTACCAGTTCACATCTTGATGGAACAGTTGTGTTTTTTAAAGTTGTTGACTAGTATGAATAAAGCTTCTGTTCAAGTCAATGTGATTTTCTTTTCTTTTTTTTTTTTTTCTTTTTTCTTTTTTTCCAGTACTGGGGGATTGAACCCAGGAGCTCTTAGCCACTGAGCCACATCCTCCTAGCCCCTTTGATATTTTATTTTGAGACAGGATCTCACTAAGTTGCTGAGTGTGGCTTTGAACTTGTGATTCTCCTGCTTCAGTCTCCCAAGCTCTGGGATTACAGGTGTGCACCAACACACCTGGCTTTTATTTCTTGAATACTCAGGAGAAGAGTTTGCGGACTTGCAGCAGGAGGTGTATTTTTTAACTTTACAAGAAACAGTCAAATTGCTTTGCAAAGTGATGGTCACCACCTGTGCGTGAGAGGTACTAGTTTCACCACTCCTCAAAAACTTGATTTCGCCACTCATTTCAACAATATTCATGTTATGTAGGAGTATCTTGTTGGGGTAACTTTCTCATGACTCATGGTTTTAGCTATCATTTCATGGCACTATTTTCCATCTGTCTGTCTTTGGTGAAATATCTGTTTAAATATTTGGCCCATTTTTAAAATTGACTTATGTTCACTAATGAGGTATGAGTTCATTATGTAGTTTTGATAAAATCTTTTGTCAGATACATAAATAGTGTGGACATTTTTCTATCAACCTGTGACTTGCCTTTTTTTTTTCTTATTGGTGTTTACAAGAAGAAGAAGCTACTTTTACTTTGATGAAGTTCAAGATTATCTTTTTTTTTCCTTTTATAGTCTATAGTACCTCTTTCTCATCTAAGAAATATTTGCCTACCACAAGGTCTATGATTCATTGCAAATTAATTTTGTGTCTGGTGTGAGGTTTGTGCTAAGATCACTTTTTTTTTTTTTTCATAATGGTATCAAGCTGTCCCGTCCCAATTTGCTAAAAAGTCTAGCCTTAACCCCGAGGGAGATAGGGAACGGCTTAAGCAGCCAGGACAAGAAGATGAGTAAGGAGGTCTGGGCCAGGGCCAGAACAAAGGAACATGGAGAGGGTCTTCCAAGGAGGCCAACTTCCTGCTTGACAAAAGTGCGTGGGGACACAAGCTGGGGACCCAATCAGACAGACACTTCTGTACTTGTGTCCCTAAGCATGGGATCCAATAGAAAAACTAAAACAGACACATAGACAGAGGGGGCACCAATGAATGACAGCGAGGGGAATGTGGACAGGGGAGGAGACAAGGAGGAAATTCCAGAGACCATGAAAAGAACAACCCAAATCTCCCCAACTAGACTCCTGGCTCAGGGGCCCCTTCTCCCTGCAGAAGTCTGTCTGCAGCTTTTGCAATAAACCTGCCGCTTGCTTGCTATCTCTGTGTCCTGTTCTTCAATTCTTTGCTCAACGGAGACAATAAACCCAACACCCCTAGAGGGTAACAGCCTAAGGTGAGCTTCTGGGCAGTTTTACTGAAATCAGCCGATGATATTATATGTATGCATTTATTTTTGAAATGATTATTCCATTTCAGATACCTGTGAGATTATTCTTAATTAACACAACCTGTTCTTAATGACTGTAACTTTGTAATGAGACTTAAAAGTCAGAAGCACAAATGTTCTAACTTTTGTTTTTTCTTTTCCAAAGTTATTTTGTCTATTCAAGTTTCTTTGTATATCTTTAGAAATTTTAGAATCATTCTCTATTATCCATTTATTTATATATACTTATATTTCCACTTATGAAACTTCCTGTTATTTTAATTCAGTAGAATTTATGCCTGAATTGAATGCTCAATTATATATGCATAAGTATCTTCATGGAAAATCTTATATTACCATTATCTGCTCAAATTAAACAATTTAGTGGAAAATTTCATTACTCATTGTTACCTTGTAATCATCAATGCTGCCCATGGCTATGTAAGGAGGGCAGCTGGATGCCAAAACCAGCCAGAATAAGGTGTATCCCAGGATTTCAAATGGATTATCCCATATTCTCTGGAAAAGCAAAGAGCACAGTGAACTGAAGTAGGGATTTCTAAGTTCATTTTCTGCAATAAAATTTCAAAACATTAATCAATTTTATGGAATCCTGCTGCAGGTTCCTATTGAGATTCTCAGTCCTTTCATTATTATTCTAGCTTTGAAGCTTCACTTTTAATCTTTTGACTTTATACTCAAATTTATAGGTAAGGAAATCAATTCAAAGAACATGCACACGTTAATCACATCACACAGTTGGAAAGTAGTAGTGGCAACCCTCTCCTTAACCCTCTCCTTACCTTAGCATTCTAAACTTTATTCTGATGCTAAGTAATAAGTGATAATTCAGAGTCAACACTTGGACTTTTCTAATAGGTCTTATTTAGAATGTGATAGCCTACCTAAATCAAATACCATATTCCTCAGCCAGTGAGAAGTCATCCCAGTAACATCGCGAGACCAGATCAATCTTGGTTGAGGATTCACAAGTAGACATGAAGTACAGAAGGGGGAGCAAAAGCATGGGAGAAAATTTATTGCTATTCCTGATCGTGACCCTTTTTAAGGACGGAATAACTGCAACCTGTCTTGGAAATCAGTGCATGTTAGTCTCATGACTCACAGTTGTTGTGTGAGCACTTGACCGAAGGGGGTAATAACCACATCCCAGTTATCTTCAGCTGGGGCCTCAGAAAGACTCTTGCTAACCACAAAATCAACCAGGAGAGTGACATTTACTGTCATGCTCCTGGTGCACACAGAGTGTGGGCCCCTTCAGGCTTCAGTGTGAAACCATTGACTCTGGGTGGGACAGGGCCAAGGCAGTCTGAAACTCCAGGTAGCTCCTACTTTGGGGGCAACGAGAAGGTAAATTTGAACAGCTAATAAAATGAGTTGCTGGAGATAGAGTTTAAAGTAAATCTGTGGGGTACATAAATACAAGATGAACTAGCCAGCTGGTATTGAACTCGTTCTAGTTAAAATAGGATTCCCCTAGAGGGGGAATTTACTAAATTATGGTATCCTGCTTTAAGAAAGTTGAGAAGACCTTCGMAATCATTAAAGGTTAAATGAACCATCACAGCACACATTCTAAAATTAACTAATGCTCCATGTGTAACTAAAACCTTTGGCTTTAATTTTTAAATTCCTTAAGCACCCTTAATGAAAGACATCTTTATTTTCTGAGCACTTAATGAGATGGTATGAGAAGGTGACACAAAATTTTTTGTTGAGCATATGAAAATAATGATGGATATGTGGTTCATTCTATATAAAAATGGGTAAAGGATCAATGTCCATCTATGTTATCATAAAACTCTAGAGTTGTGTGAGATGGAAACAATTTGAGGACCACTTGCATCCATTTGTGTCTTTAACAAATAAGTTATTTAGTGCTTATTATGTTCGACACCTTTTCCTAGGTACAAGATATTGATACACATGTGTTTAAGAAATACACGATCCCTGTATCTCCAAAGGGGTGAAATTATTTATGAAGTAAACAAACCATTATAAGCTATCATAGTTACTCTGTTTTCCCAACTTAATGGGCTGAGTGCATTCCAATCTCCTGGGCCTTTCTTTAGAAACAGGAATTTTTTCATCCCGTATTTGGGAAAGCTTGCCTGGTAGGTCTAAGGAAGGCCAAAAGAATGAATACTTTGGACAAGAACCTGGCCTAGTTCTAACATCGACAGTGTGCAATTCCAGGCTTCACTTTGTCCTGAATTCTTAAAGTTGTGAAAACGTCACCCCTTCTCCCTTCCTACCTGCCATCCTGTCTGCTTTCCTCTGGTACCTCCTTAATTTTTCTGGTTCATTATGTTTTTTTTGCTAGTCACAGTGCCACACAATTTCACTTTTTTTGTGGTTTCATCTTTTTTCTTTGGAACATGTCTTGTTAGTTCTACTTTGCATTTTAAAAACATTTGAAACTCTAAAAAAGTGGATTGAATTTTCCAGAGCTGCAGAAACAGCATGAATCCAAATGTTAATGTGTAACAGTGTGGTTCACTCACCAAGAATTAGATGCCAGCTCTGAAAAGCACGATCTGGGAGGAGAGTCCATAAGAGTTATACTCACCCTCAAAACTGTGCTCCACTCAGTTTGAATATGTGCCGATGGTGTAAGCGTTCCACGTAGCCCGTTACTAATAATATCCATGAGAACCGGGAAGCAATTCAGTCTTTTGGTATTGCACGAAAATAAAAAGTCATATTTCTAAAACACAGACAAGTTTATGAATTAGCAAAGATCTTTGTGTTTTTTTCCCCCATAGAAGCCAAAATTTAATACTTTCATTTGAGATCACTTTTCAAAATTTTGGGGTTTTTTTTTCTGTTTTTTTTCTTTTTTTTTTTTCTCAGTGCTGGGGATAGAGCTCAGGGCCTCACACATGCTAGACAAACACTCTACCACTCAGTCACATTTTCAGCCCCAAGATTATGTTTTTAATGTGATGCCAAATAATTTTTTAAAATTCACAAACACTTTGTAAGCAAAAAACACTGTGGAAATAAAAACAAATACTAGTATAAAAGAAAACATGTATATAGTAAACAAACAAACAAACCAACCAACCATGCATTTGATTTTCAGGACACTAGTGTCTTGCTTAAGGATAGAATCAGGTTTTGGGTGTTTATTGTTTAAGAATGAATCAGAAGTTCCAGATAAATGTATTAGAAAGCCCCTTGAGAGAAACTACAGATTCTTTCACACAAATGTACACTTGACAAGGGGTATTTTTACACTATGAATGTTGCTAATATACACAGTTTGTATTGGTAAATAGTGATAGATATATAAATTTATCACGTATTATACCAAGGAATGCAATTTGCCAAGTAATAAATGAAACAGTACTTGTTTTTCATTTTTGCTTCTTAAATTGGAGACTGGAGTACATTCATATTATGTTAGCTTCCCACACCTTTGGTAAAATTACTAAATGTAGACCAGCATACCTTTTCATTACGAAATACTATTATGGCTCCATTATAAGAAGGGTCATCTATACCATTTCTAGTTCCAGCTGCATCTACTTCCACAGCTATGCTCTGGCACTCCACGGCATGGACAAACTCATCAATGCTCTCCCCTGAGATGTAATTTAACAGATATTTACAAACTTTAAAAAAATTAATGTCAATTTGTGTAGTTATGTTACAGTGTCTTTTAATGTCACTTACTGTAACATGGACTGTGAGGATATTTTCCACCTGATAACATGCCTGCTTCTGTGAATGAAGAATCTATGCATTTCTCAAGGAGTTCACTTTGTATGAGTATTTGCTTGTGCTTAGATAATGCACAAATCTTTAAAAATAACATATGGTTTTTGAAATTGTTTTTGTTTTCTCCTAGAATCTTGGAATGGAAGTTTTAGTGACAGATAATTCCTACTAATTAATTAACCATCAAATTTACTAAAGCTCACTTTACTACTGAATAAGATTAATTAATTAATTAATTATTAATTTATTTGAAATTCAATAAGATTATTAATTGGATTTCAAAATGCCTCTTGATAACAGGAAAGCAACCTGTTGAATGGTGATTATATGAAAGACTCTACAGCCATCTCCTCCAGAAGAATGACTAATAACTATAAAAATTACTAAAAAGAAAAACCCAACTAGTAAAAAATCTCTGGAAACTGTCCCAARGGTATATAGRAAATGAAGAAATATTTATTCAAGCAAATCTGCTAAAATTTGGTAAGAACTCTTTCTGAACAGGTCAGTAAGCACACGAAGAGATGTTCAACACCAGGAGCCTTAGCAAAACACCAATACAACCCACAGGGTGTAGCTAGACACTCTGTGATGGGTGGAATAAAAAGACAGGAAACAATGAATGTCGGCAAGGCTATGCGGAAATTAGAACGCTGGTGTGAATATAAAGTTTTTCACTTTGAAAAATAGTTTGGACATCCTTAAAAGGTTAAACATAATCATCTTGTAACCCACCAATTGTATTCCTAGGATGATGGCCCCCCCCCAAAATGAATACTTATGTTCACACAAAAAATGTACAGATTAACATTTTTAAAAGCAATATTTATATAACTAATTAATGGGGGAAATTATCCATCTGTGATGGGTGACTAATAAAATGTGGTGTCTCCCTCCTACAGAATATTATTTAACAATTTAAGAATAAAGTATTAATCCATGGATCCATACTACATTTGAAACACATCATTACCTGTGTTATTGATGATCAATAATCGAGTGAGAGGGTCCTGTGGCTGTTGTCCAGGAGCCAGGAAGTACAGATGAGGAGACAGTTCCAAAGTGTAACTGTTTTGATGAACTTTCACCAAGATATACTCCAAAAAAAGAGGGAAAAATCCAACCACCAGAATCAACAACCTGTATGGGATAAAACTGCCAATTTGAATCAATGCACGGTTGTTTCCTAATTTTTAGAAGGGTCTGAGCAGATTGCAATGTACTGAGGTCAAGAAATTGTGAAAATTAAACACAGCTCTCTGCCTCATTTCTTGAGTATTTTGTCCTTTTTCCTCCTAAATTGGAGGGGAGAAACTGTAGATTTATCCTTCCCTTCCCTTGCTCTGGCCATTGGGCAGCCCATACCCCTCCGTGGGATGTGTCCTGTCCCTCAGGCTCAGATCCTGCTTGCCTCCCATGCTCCAGAGCGATGCTCTGCCCTCTGCCAGCCATTGCTCAACACCTCGCCCATGACTTTCTTCATGTCCACTCCTCTTCTTATACTTGGGAGTGATGTGATTTCTTTAGTTTCCAGGCTCAAATCTTTAATTATAGTTTAGTCTTTATTTTCCTACATTTTCCATTCATATAAATCAAAATATCTTCTTATACGGCCATTCTATTCCTTCAAAACCTTTCCCCATCCTTAATTTATAATTACATTTTGTCTGAAGTCAGCAAAATGACGGGCATCTCTTTATACTTCACTCTCTCTAGACCTGTATGTAGTGTTTCCAGTTTAATAGGGAAGGTTTATTCTTAAGTCTTGCTCAAATTCTCATTACTTATTTCTTTAGCAAATATTTACTGAGATTCAATTGTGTGGCAGGCTACCGACCTCCTTATTCCTAAAGCAAAATACAGTGTTCAGAGACATGGCATTGACTGACAGCCGAGGTAAGATGGGTGTTAAGGTAAAAAAGGAGATGATGTGAGTTTGGGAGCAGGGACTGTGTCTTCTGTGCATAGAGTCGGGAAGGAGAGTGAACTACTTATACGACTGGAGGGGAAATCTCGATATCTAGGGAAGAATGAGTAGGATAACCGCTAAGATAGGTCCTGGGAAAGAGGACCACTTCCTAACACGTCTGCCACCTTTCATAGTGCAGAATTTGAGTGAGAAGAAATATTACAGGGAAGTTCACAGCATTCCAACTTTTCCTCTAGAATTGTCTCTGGACCTGTTAGTCCCCTAATAGAAAACCACTAGGACCACTGACTAAATAAATATAATACTTTTTCCAGTTTTGTAGACACAGGGAATTAAAAAAAAATTTTCCTCTTATTTTTACCCCTTAGTTATTTTCCTATACATCAGCTAAAGGGAAAACTCTGTGGCACTCTGATATTCACAGTGATAGAAGAGCTTTTCTTTCATGCTTCAACTTTAGCAAAYGAACCTTTGCAATTGCACAGATCTGTCGACCCCAGAGAGCCAYGCCTTCTACTGTCTTTCTCATCTCCATAAGTGAGGAGAGAATTTGTTCCATCTCAACAAGTCTTTCTGTGTCCCCAGCTCTTTCCCCTTGTGCTTCTCCTAGAATGTTGATACCTGCAAACCACAAAAGAAGCAATTTATTAAATCCCACTTCAGATGTGTAATATTGAGCCTACGGCATGAGCTTGTTTGTCGGTAGTTCAAGTCTTTTCCTGTAGACATAGCCTTCCTGGCTGCTGCCTTGAGCGAGGAAAATATTTATAAGGTTTGTTTTTTGAACAAAAAGAGGAGTGGAAAGAAGCTCTTAGATAATTCAAATGTGCACGGTACATTCGAGAGATGAGATTAAAAATGCAAGGTCTTTTTAGTGCCTAGTGTAATTTGCAAATTTAGTAAAGAAAGCCATATTCTGTGTGTTCACTTAGAGAAGCAAGCTACAGATTGACATGCTACACACAGGGAGTGAACTATGAATGATAAGTTATCCGCCTGGGGGTCAATTATAAATCGTCATTACTGGAGAGATTTAAAATGTGCACAGTGTTTGAGGCTGCACTCTTCTACCCTTTTCACATTCTCTGCTATCTCTAGGTCCCCAGGATGCTGCCCACTGTACAATGCTAAAAAAAGCCCAACTCAAAGCCCCAGAAATGCACAGAAAAATTCACACTCTGAAATAAAGATCTTGAACAAGATAGCGGTGAGAAGCACATTAAAAGAATAGTTTTAAATAATAGATATTTGTCATTTTTAATCCATTAACAGATGAGGGCATCATGAAAACTAAAAAGATTAATTTTCATTAAAAGAGAAGCTATTCCATTCATAGGGGAGAAGATTCCTGTGTCTGCATTCATCCCTAGGGACAGGGCAGAAGGAGAGCCCACCAAAGGCATGGACAAAGGGCCAACAGCAGGAAGAAACAAACCCTTATGGTCACATGTGGGCTACCGTACCCATCTAGACCCTTATGGTCACATGTGGGCTACCGTACCCATCTAGAATCACATGGTGCCCAAGTCACAAAATGAGTCCACACTCTCTACCAATTCTTTCCCAAAGGGGCCCTTCACCAAGTGCATGAGAACAGTGCACCAGAGGTAGGGGCAGAAGGAAAAACAGAGAGAGCCACATGGAGGTGCCCAGGGTCTCCTGCAAGACATCATGAAGGCAAGTGGGGCCTCTCTGTGTGAATTACAGCATCCACCCAGAGCCAGCCCACAGAAGGGGTAACTGAGGACCCATGGGCCTCTGCTGGGTACAGCGCTGGCCACTTCAGTGGCCATGCTGAAGTCTGCATAGAGGGTGGTAAGGTGGAGGGAGAGCTGGGGCAAAGTTTGATTTAAGTGAAGAGGAGGGCTCAGTTCCCAGTGGTCAAATAAACCAATAAATTTTAAAACTGCAATAAAATAGGGTGGCAGGCACAAAGTCAAGGAAATTTCTGCTGCTGGGGGATTTGGTGGTGGTGGTGGGGCTGAGAACAGTCGGGACCCCTGTTCTGAAAAAGGGCAGATGCACTCTTGGAGCTTCATAGCCTAACAGCGATTAAAAAGAGGATGTGAGCTTTTCCCTACTTCCCTACTCTAACTTGGAGGTTGTCAGATTCCAAAAGCTTGGTATATGCCTTGCTCACTCACCCTTAAACATTTTCAGCTTCAAAAACCAGGTGCATCAGCAAAGCCAGTGATAAACAAGCCAAAGGACAAAACTGTTGAGGAGACGCCAAAGTAGGAAGTTCCCGGGCCCTGAACCTGTTATTTGCATGATTTGTCTTCTCTTAAAAGCTACAGGGACTCATCCTTACCACAGGCAAACGCAGCATCATTAGGAGAGAGGTGATTTTGGCTCCAGGACAAGGAAAAACACCTTTAGAAAGCACCCAAAGGCAATTAATATGGCTAAACTCTAACCACCCCTGCAAGCAACCCTTTCCCATGAATAACACTCAGCCTCTTCCTTTGTCAAGAGCCAGCCCCACAATCCTGATTTCCACACTGCTCTCTGGCTCTGCCTCCTTTCTCCGAATTCCCAGCAAAAGCCTCACCTGTGTGTTTGTATCCATGTGATTTGATTTCACTCTCACCCACACTAACTCAAAGATTCCTATAGGTCTGTAGGTCGCAGAGAGATCTGAAGAGTTTCGCATCAATGCTGTAACTCAAGGTCATGCCGAAGGGAAAGATTTGATTTGACCTTCAAATCATGTGGAAGTGGGAAAGGAGGAAAAGCTGTCCAAAAGTCCACATACTTGCCAAATACAGATCAGGTCAATCTAGTGGTCTGTATCAGCATCCTGACAGAAAAAAGAGTCAACTCATTTTCTGGGCATTGCTTTCTTCAGTCTCTACTGTTTTGCTGTGTTATTATTATTTTTTTAATATGTCGATGATATAAGAAAAAATACAAGACATGAGAAGAAGCAGGAAATGTGACCCAGAGGGAAGAGAAGAACAGTCAAAATCATTACTGATGTGGGTCATCAGTGATTGTGGTCCAGATGTTGGGTTTAACACACATGGGTTTAAAAATATTTATGATTTATTCCAGGATCCACTGGAAAATATGAAGGATATCAGTGAGCCAATAAGTAAGTTCAGTAGAGAATCTGAAACTGTTAAAATATGAACAAATGGAAACATTCTGTTGAAAGATGCAGTATCAGGAATAGAGAGTTTAATAGTTGGGCTTCAGAACAGTCTGAACAGAAGACAGCTGTGATTTTGAAGACAGGCAAACCGACATTGTCCAGTTACTTTCCTTTTTATTTTTCAGACATTGTCCAATTTCTAACACAAAGAAAAACAAAGATTGGAAAACCTAACTGGGGAATCTAATGCCTGTGGGGCAGCACCAGATGTCTAAGAATTATTTTTTGCTCAGTATAAATTGCACCCACAGATCCAAAGAATTCAAAAGTCCCAAATAAGAACTGACAGAAGGTGCTGTTTAAGCTGATCATCAATTATACTAGATAAAATATCAGGAGGGAAGAGTTAGGAGCCCAATAGAGATATAATGTATGGGCAAACAAAAGAGAACATTAAAATCGGTTATATTCTCTCTCTCTCTCTCTCTCTCTCTCTCTCTCTCTCTCTCTCACTCACTCATTTCTATCAATCAATCATCTATCTGTAGCTCTACAGATAAAGATACTGATTTATAGATATATAAGTCTATGTGACTTGGGTGAGAGTTTAATAATAATAACTGAGAAGCACATATAATTACAACGCATGATAGGAAATATCAAAAAGGAAAAGGGAGGAGATAAGTGTGTTCATTTRGAGGTAGTTGTATTTTGTGTGAACCAGTAGAGCAACGCTGGAGTATAGTATACAGATAAATTTTTCTAGTGATCATGAAAAATAACACACCAAAAAACCCACAGCTAAAAAGGAAATAAAGAAGCAAGTTATTTACTACTAATAAAAAATCATGGCAGGAAGGAATAAAAAAGCAAAGACTAGATGGGACCAATATGATAGATATAACCATAACCATAGCAACAATCACATTAAAAGAAATAAGAAATAAAAGAAAGATCAGGGATGTAGAAGAAGGGGATGGGGGGAGGGAGGAGGGACAGGATAAAGGTAAAACAGCGGAACGAATTTGACTTGACTTTCCAAGGCACATATGTGAGGATACTACAGTGAATCTCACATTATGTGTATCTACAAGACACTAATTTTATAAATAGCATAAACAGGAAGATCAGTAAAATAGAGAAAAGGGAATAGGTGCAAGGGCTTTTTCAAGTGACCATGTATGACAACCTCTTCTCATCAAATTGAACACATCATTAAAGATGCAAACATTATAAAAGAGATCCCAATAAAATTTTTAGAGTTGAAAATTGTACCAACTGAAAGTGAAAAATTCACCGGCAGAACTTAACATATTTCAGCAAATAGAACAATCCGGTGAACATGACAGAAGAAAAATTGAGATTAGTCAGGGTAAGGAACATAAAGTAAAAGGAACAAAGAAAATGAAGAGTCCCAGAGAAATGTAGGATGTTACCAAGTCACCAATAAACAATGGCAGTGTCTGAAGGAGAGGAGAGGAAGGAAAGAAATGAGGCTAAAAACTTCCCCAAATGGATGAAAAACACTAATTTCCATATCCTAGTGTTATTAGATGTGGAGGAGTCCCCCAAAAGCTTACGTGTGAGACAATGCAAGGTTTGGAGGAGAAATGATTGTGTTATAGCCTTAACCTAATCAGTGGATTGATCCCTGATGGGATTYACTGAGTGGWGAMTGGAGGCAGGTGAGGTGTGGCTGGAGGAAGAGGTTCACTGAGTGTGTGGTTATAATGTATATATTTGTGTCTGGCAAGTGGAGGCCTCTCTCTCTCTGCTTTCTGATTATTATGTGAACTGGTTCCCTCTGCCATACCTTGAGTCCTGAAGAATGGAGCCAGCCACTGATGCACTGAGACCTCTGAAACTGTGAGCCCCTAAATAAATCTTTCTCCTCTACAGTTGTTCTGGTTGGGTCTTTCAGTCACAAAAGCAAAAAAAAAAAAAAAAGCTGACTAAAACACCAAGATGCCCAACCTACCCCATGTAGGATAAATGTAAAGCTCTAAAGACATGAACAAGCTGTCCAAAGCTAGTCAGAAAAGAGAATATTGAAAGCAGCAAGAGAAAATGGCTCATAATAACAAGACATCCTCAATAAGTTTAAGAGCTGACTTCTCAGAAACCCTGGAGGCCAGCACACGGCAGAATGATGCACAGAGTGTGCAGACAGGAAGATAAGAAGGTTCTGTCTGAAATTGATCTTGGGATGTGAGGAGGGCAATGACCCTTGGATGCAGGAAAACGAGCTATGCAATCAGTCAAGGCAATATTGACAGAGGACACAGCTCGTCTTTGCATAAGCTTATCTGAGAAATGCGTTAGTCATGGAAACCAACGTTTCGCAATCACATCTTTGGAACAGGGTCTTCTCGAGCTATGAACTGCACTGCATGAGTATTTTCACACAAAATTTTCATGCATTTTATTTACCTGATACATCAAGCGCTGATTTCCCTTCTAGCTTCAGGAACACTTCATTCAAAGTTGTCATGGAAACACCATAATTCTCAATTCCTAGGCCAGGATTGCTATCAAGATCTGTGTAAAGTTCTAAAGAAAACAAACAGAGCAGTGAATCAAAACAGCAAAAGCCATGAGCAAACTAAGGACATCTTTCCAAATTAAATAAAGAAATTATATGAAGTTATGCTTAAGATTTGTCTAAGGTTTTTAAAATTAACATTTCATAATAAATAATCTTATTCTTCAATCCATGTATTTTCTATTTCACCCAAATATTACTCTCATGGTCAAATATTAGTTTATATTCATTTATGTTTCTATTATAACATCATTCTAGATTTTTCTGATTTAGTTAATTATGAAATTTTGGACTTCTCAATGCCAATCTTTTTTACTTAAAGATTYCCCCCCCCCCCAGATAACAGATACAAATGGGAAACATTCATGCTGTTACCAACAGAAGAGAAAGAACATATTTTTTGAGAATTAGGTAGATGGTTCAAAATCTTCTTCAGTTCTCAAAGCACCTGTCAAAGGACAGAGGATCTAAGTCATTTTAAAATTAGTTTCTGTTTCTGAAAAATAATTCCCGAGTTCTAATAGAGAATGAAGAATCGACTTAGAATTTCTTGGGCTAGTAGGAAAGTATGATAGCAGAAATTCCCTCTAGCAATTTTTGTATCCGTTCCTTCTTTAGTTCATTTACCTAAAAATACTATGGCACCAATCATTGTTCATAAAGCCAAGAGCAATGTCCCTGCCTGCGTGGATTTGAATTATAGTGGGTAATTAAGCTTAAGTAAAAACCCAATTCTAAGACTAGAGTGATTATAGAAGATCCGAGGCTTCATTCTGGAGAGTCCAGTGACAGGAGGATGTTAGAAGCGKCCAGTCTCAGCTGGAATATCTTACATGGAAAGGTAGAAAGGAGATTTGAACTGCTAACAAGTACCATTCTGCCTAAAACTATTATAGACTTTCCCTGTATTTTAATTACTCTTACAATACACTAATTAGCAGTCTACAAACACTTTGCTGAATGCTTCTAAGGAATATTTATGTTATAAAATGTATATTTAAGTGACTTTATGGAATAATTATGTGTCTTTGTTAACCACACGTATGGCAAGGCTAATTGATCCAGCCACTCAATGTCAGCCTTCATGGTCATGGAACAGAAGGATAAACAGAATTAGTAAACGTCTGTCCATTAGCCTGGAAAGCTCAAAGTTACCACAACGGCCTGGCCAAGAGAAATAGTTATATCATGGGGCTAATTAACATAGTTAAGCTAGAGGTTTCAACCATTTGTGTTCATGTACAGTTATGATTACTAGAATGTTCTGCTATATACCACCAGGGGAACAGAATTAAAAGAAGCTCTCTAAAATGCACAAGCATTACTATCAGAATATAATAATATTTCCCACTATAGGCAGTTGTTATTTGACTATTGATTTGATTACATTTAAATATCTGAACAACATCATAAGTTCTCAATGAATGTTAGTTATAAAAGTTACCATTATTTTATTATGAATATTATTTATATACTAATTTCATGTTTCTATAAACATTACCTGGAAAACTATGGGTTGTTTCTAAGGGTAGTGTATAGACAAGCTTTCCTTCACTTTCTGCTGCTAATTTGGCATCAGGGATGTGCTGTTTAACAAGGGATGTTATCTTTTCCTGAGTACATAGTTCATTCAACTGCAAATTGGCGTTAAAAAAAAAGGTATGTTTTTTGACATAGTCTCCAATAGCATGAAAATCAAGTCTAATCTCTATAGGACAAAGAAAACCAGCTAATATCTAATGGAAAAAAACAGGACATAAAAACATTAAATAAGAGGACAAAGATCCCAATCATATAAATGTAATGTGGGAAAGCAAAGATGAAGCTAAACAGAATTACTGGTCATATTACTGAGGGATGGTGCCCGGAGAAGATCAATAGTGATTCAGGTCCTTAAGTGGAGAATAACTACATGGTAGAAATACTAGGAATGCAGCAAAGATCAGGACTAAGCAAGATGGATAATGTTGACATTTATGTTTAACCGAGGAAGTTTAAGTTAGCTAAATAGGATTATCGTACTGGTGTGAAAGAACAAGAGACTTTTGATAGTCATAGATGCCAAACAGGTACAGTTATTGAGTTAATCATTCAATGCAAATTTCTTAGTGTGTGATAAACATCACCCCACTAAGTGCTCAGGGTACAAGGTGAATAAGAAAACATTAGCCAGCACTTATGAAATTATCTAGTCAGGGAGACAGGAAGAAAACAGATAAGTAAACTAATTATCAATAGTAGTAAATGCTATGAAGGAAACTGGGTATAGATAGAAACTAATTATGGATGAATGTGGGCTTGGGGAGCTGGGATCCCCAATTTTAGCTTTCTTTCTAGTGTCAACCCCAAAACTTTGAATAAGAACAAAATATCATTGAGAAGTCTAGCCATTCAAACACACCATACTATTTTCCCATTATAGAAATAAAAATTGAACAATCAAGGTTAGTAAGTATATAGTAGATAATAATATGTCATGATTTTACTTTGAATCTTAGTTTTTGCCATTTGAAAAATCTAATTTAACCTATCTCAGCTGTTTCCTCATTAGTAAAATAGAATAATGATTTCTAACATCTAAGGTTGCTAAGAACTGAAAAATAGGGATGCCAACACTTAGCCCTTAAAAATGGTTGCTGTTTTATTGAGCTAAATGCTTCAGTCAGAATTATTCCGTTTACTCATAAGGCATGCGTGAACTTATAAGAATATGTATTATTCCTAGAAGCAGTGAAACCTACTGAGGGAATTTGCCATGAAATAAAACAAGCTATAAACATTTCCTGGCCCCTTACAAGAACTTGAGCTGGGTGTTCTGGAGGACTTTGTAAGTGGTACACAGTGTCTTTCCTCAGGAGCTTATCCATCGGGAGGCAGGCTTGGCAAACTTTTTCTGAAAATGGCTGGGTAGCAAATAGTTTAGACATTGCCTGAAAAGTCTAGTCATGTGTTTCAACTCTCTGTTGTGTCTCAGGAGCTCTGTAGGCAATATGCAAGAGAATTGCAAGCCTGGGCCAAATCAAAACTTTATTTTCAAAAACAGGAAGGGGGCTGAATTTGGCTCACGGGGCCATAATTTGTTAACCTCAGGCTTTGAAGAAGAACATGAAGCAATTATGCAAATTACWGTCCAGAGGCCCATGGAAAGAGTTATGAGTTGGGCAGGGAATCTGACTAGCACCTTTATTTTGAGAGCATGGTATGTCCTCAATATTACACAAGATTCTAAGCAACATCTCATTTATTTTTCTGTAACCTTTACTTATAACCAGAAGTTATTACTCCTAGATTATAAGTTAGAAAACTGAGTTTCAAAAAGTTTACATAACTTCTAAGAAAAGATGCAAACCAAATGCTTCAGGGAATTAAAAACAAAATTGGGACATCACACAAAACAGGAAGATTATCAAAGTGTGCATGAGATATTATCCATATAACTCTTTAGGACTTAAACAGGTGGAAATGGGTTCAACAGCTAGCCTCAAAAAAAAAAAAGTATAGATCATGGTAGGACATGCATAAGGAGCAACGACTATTTCACTTTAACTAAAGGGTATTGAATTGGGTCAGGGTACACGGTATGGGAATCATGACAGACGAGTCACACCAGCATTATTTGGCTACATGGTTTGGATTCTGGTAGGTAAAATTTCTGAAGTTTGTTATGTTTTGTCATTTTATCTTTATTTTCTTTTTTAAGTATAAATGATATAAATCAGAACTAACCAATTAATTTAAAAATTAAAACATGGTCTTGGACACTAGATTTGAAGCTAAACATATTGAGAATCAATTCATGGCTCTACCACACAACAATGTAGTGTTATGGTTTGAACGTGACTCTCAAAGTTCACGGGCTGGAAATAATCCCAGTGCAATGGTGTTGAGATGTGGAAGCTTTGAGAGGTGATTAGGTCATGAGGCTCTCTCTTCATGAATGGATTCATGCCATTATCATAGAGGTGGGTTAGTTATTGTGGGAATGGATTCCTGATAAAATGATGAGTTTACCCCYTACCCTGCCCTGTGTGTGATCTCTTGCCCTTTCTCCTTTTACCATGGGATGATGAAGCAAGAAGGCCTGTGCCAAGTGTGGTCCCTCAACCTTGGACTTCCCAGCCTCCAGAACTGTAGGAAATAAATGTTTATTCTTTATAAATTACCCAGTCTCAGGTACTTTGTTCTAGCAGCACAAAATAGTTAGTCTAAGACACATAGGGAGTATATAATTTTATCTGTAAAGTAAAAGTAATGATGATTCCCATCTCAAAAATAAAAGATTGAAATAAAATAATGTTAAGTATCATCCAAATAAATAACAGCTCTCACATGCTACTATTYAAAACACTAATAATTGAGAAGAATGGAAAGGAGAAGGTCAAGAAAAAGGAGGAAGCACCGAAGGAATTGGAAGCAAGTAGGAAATTATATTAACACCCTGGGTGAGAGATGATTAGRGTATGAAAGAATATATCAGTGAAAAAGTTCCCTTAATACATGTTTCCATAGACCATGCATTCTGAATATATTTCCTAACACACATTTATCTAAACTTCTGTTGCCATCTTATATTCTCAATCTCAAGCGTCTCCAAAGTCGTCAACTCTCACACGTACATGATTTCTGTATCAATAGCTCTGCACAGATATGTGCCTATGGGTGTGCAAGCACTTGGGTATRATGAATACAGGTCTTCTTGGCATGTTTGTTTCCATCACCATCAAGCCTCTCTTTTACCAAAAGAACCTTCCCTGGTGGCCCTACCTTAGGTGATAACCGATCCCCCACTTTTTCTTCAGAAACAATGAAGAACCCGCACACTTCAGTTTCCCTTTGGAGAGAAACACTTTCCTATCTGAAAAGGAAGAATCAAAGAAGAGAGTTTGATAGGCAGTTTTTTAAAAAATTCTTTTTTTTAATTGATTTTATTTTTTAAATACACGATAGTGGAAAGCATTACAATTCTTATTACGCATATAGAGCACAATTTTTCATATCTCTGTTGTATATAAAGTATGTTCACACCAATTCTTCATACATGTACTGTGGATAATGATGTCCATCACATTCCACCATCATTACTAACCCCCTGCCCCCTCTCTTCCCCTCCCACCCCTCTGCCCTACCTAGAGTTTATCATCTTACTCCAGTCAAATGGCAGTTATTATGAAGACAAACAACAATAAGTGTTGGCCAGGATGTAGGGAGAAAGGTACACTCGTACATTGCTGGTGGGACTGCAAATTGGTGCAGCCAATATGGAAAGCAGTATGGAGATTCCTTGGAAAACTGGGAATGGAATCACCATTTGACCCAGCTATCCCTCTCCTCAGTCTATACCCAAAGGATTTAAAAACAGCATATTACAGGGACACAGCCACATCAATGTTTAAAGCAGCACAATTCACAATAGCTAATCTGTGGAACCAACCTAGATGCYCTTCAATAGATGAATAGATAAAAAAGGTGGCATTTGTACACAATGGAATATTACTCAGCAATAAAAGAGAATAAAATCATGGCATTTGCAGATAAATGGATGGAGTGGAGAAGATAATGGTAAGTGAAGTTAGCCCATCCCCAAAAGACAAATACCATCACTGATATAAAGTGACTGACTCATAGTGGGGTAGGGAGGGGGGGCATTGGAGGAATAGATGAATTCCATTTGCTTTTTGAGAAAACGCAGTATGATCTAAYTCCAGTTAAGGAGTGTCTATAGTCTGCCCTGAGACAGAGCTAGTAAGGACTCCATAAAGTCCTTACTTTATTTTAATCTAATTTATGTATTTTAGGTCATCTTTGCACCAACTCATCAGGGAGATTCAACTTTGTGGATATACTRTCTATCATAGAGAATCATCATATAACACGTTTTGATGGATCAAACATTAAAATTCTTTGGATATTTCAAGTTGATATGTCTCTATTCTGAGAGAATTAATCTCTTAGAATACTGACTCTACTTACTTCCCTGGAACAGCCCACTCCTACATCATCAAATAATACAAATTTTACAAGATACATAGAAATGGCTGGAGTCGAGGAGATTTGGGCCCAGTTGCATCTCGTCCCCAGTGGTACAGATTACCATGGATGGCTAGATTGCCAGTATTAAATAGAGCTGTTCAGAATACCAATACACATTTCTCAAATACCCTGATGTCTTCATGAGGATATTCAATGAAAACCAGCAATTACCTGCCAGGAGGTCAGCCTCATCCATGAACTGAGTAGTAAAAAGGATCACATGGTCTCTTCTACGCTCTTTCAGGAGGTTCCAAATTCTGTGTCTTGAGAAAGGATCCATTCCAGCACTGGGTTCATCTAATAGGAAAACCTGCAGAGGAGGGAGGTGTGAAGGAGAAGTGTGTGTGTGTGTGTGTGTGTGTGTGTGTGTGTGTGTGTGTGTTTCTCCTAAGGTGAAGTTTTTCCAGAAAACAATGTAAAGACCATATTATTTATATGCATTTATTTACTTACTTTTTTGCAGTACCGAGGGTGAAACCCAGAGCCTCCTGTATGCCAGGCAAGCACTCTACCACTGGGCTACATCCCCCATCCTTTATTTGTATTTAAAAGGTATTGTGATTAGGATTTTGTTCTTATTTTGAATATTTTATTATAAATATTTCATCAAACACGTCCTTTTCCAATTACAAGGTTTGAACTCTCATCAAAAGTTTCACTTTCTAAAACTTGAAAACACCCATAAATTGCTGAACTCACCTGAGGATSTCCTAAAATGGCAATCCCAAAGGTTAGTTTTCTTTTCTGTCCACCACTTAAGTTTTGAGCCAGGACATTCTGAATATTTTGTATTTCCAATTCCAGTAAAACTCTTTGTATCTAATCAAAAGACAACATTGTATGTCATATACCAAGATTCATTTCTTTTTTCCTTTTTTTTTAAAAAATGCAAAACAGTAAACATAATGATTAAAAGCATGGACCCTGTGGCCAAACTGCCTGGCTCTGAATGCCCATCCATCTTTAGCTGCTGTGTGATCTCAGTCAAGTTACTTTCTCTCTGAACCTCAGTTTCTACATGCATAAAATGGGAATAATAACAGCTTTATCTCATAGTGTCGTTCTAAGGAATAAATGAGTTCTACATTTACAGTAAAGGATATGCTTGGCACATTGTAAATTATCTAAATGATCACTATTGCTGAAATTGGATTTTCCTCTTCAACATTTACCAATGACTTACACACAGATAATTAATAAAAGAGAAAAWCAAAACAAAACAGAGCAAACAGGATTAGCAATCTCACTTTGACCAATACATGAGTTTTAATGTATTTATATACCTCTTGCTCCACTTCTTGTGGCAGAATCCCTCTTATTTTAGCAAATAGCCTAAGGTTTTCTTTCACAGTAAGGAAGTCAAACTGCACATTGGATTGTGGACAAATTCCAGTGATCTTGATGATGTTTTCTAGGTCATCCATTTCTGAAAGTTTATTATTGTAGATGGTGACAGAACCTATCACAAAGATTCTACATTAATATCTGGATAATAAGTAAAACCGAGTACTTCTAAATAAAAAAAATCACTATCAATGCACTAATCAATAAACTATTTTATCTTCAAGATTTATACAATTTAGGCATTATGAATTTTCCTTTCAGTTGTAAAGTAAATTGTAAAAGGAGTTCCCATCTGGGATTTTATTCCTAATGATGTAGTGTAGTCTCTTACCATTTATAATTAGGTTTGGCTAGATGCCCACTGGGGCCTTAGCAACAGTGATACACATAGAGCTGATGAATAGCTACACACTGTGACTTGTCCTCTTCTGTTGCTGGGATCCTGAAGAACATTGGGTAAAGAATCCCAATCTAGCCTCTTGCAACATGAAAGTCCATGCAAAAACAGAGGTGTAGCTGTCCTGTCTGAAGCCTCAAATATGTGAGCAGGCACATGTTACATTACCTGGTGTCAATCACTTGGTTCAGAACAGAGAAACCATTCAGTCAACCCACAGAGTCATGAGGAAAAAAAATACAACATTTTTTATTTTAAGCCATTCGGTTTGGGAGTGTTTGCCATGCAGCAAAATATATGGGAATGCCAAACTGATGACCATAAAAATAATCATCACAAAATACTTACATTCTATATGAAGTAATTAAACATCACAAACCTTTATGGAATAATATTACAAATAGATTTCCATTTTTTATTTGGTATCTGTGTTTGTCATAAATAATCAGGAGGATTTTATATTATCAGCTTACTTCTTTGTCAACCTGACTTTGGAAAAAAGAACTCTCACCTTTGGTGGGAACAGACAACCCACTAAGAATATTTAACAGTGTTGATTTTCCAGCTCCACTGTGACCAAGGATTGCAGTGATTTGGCCTTCATAAATGTCCAATACCAGGTCTAGGAGGAATGGAAGGTAAGATAAGGAAGGAGGGAGAAGAGATGGGAGGAAGGATGGAAAATAATAAAAATCACAAATAACATTCTGTTACAGAACCAATAAATTAACACTTGATTTCCTGGAATGATTATATTTTCTAGTGTGAAAACATTGTAAGTTCAAAATAAAAATGCCCTTAAAAACTAATTTTTAAAAATCCTTTCTAGAATTTTTTAAGTTATTTGATTAAAATGAATGAATGAATGAAACATTTAATATACCCTTAAATTCATTGAAATTGCCTGGCATATGGTAGGTGGATGTTAGTATTTATTGAATGGGAGAATAGATTAATAATAAAGTGTCACATAGCTAAAACTCCCAAGTGGTAAGTAGGTAAGTCCCCCCCTTTCAGAAAAGGAAAAAAGTAGAGTATCTACCAATAGCTTTTGGATTATAGAAGAAAAAAATTGAGGGTGTAGGAAAAAAAWATCTGTAGGTTACATCAGTATAGACTTTAAATACATGTAATTCTATAACACCCACTTTTTCTAACTTTTATAAAGTAAAAGTGATGTGTTAGAGGGGAAAATTTATAATAGGGTTCAAATAACTTTTCAAATCTTAGATATTATCATTAACTGCTCAATAAAAGCAAAACAATGTGAATTTAAATCATGAAATTGACATCAATATAATTTTTTTTTTTACCCTTCAAAGCTTCTATTTTATCAGGTTTTCCTTTATATTCTTTTGTAATATTTCTGATTCTGAAAAAAAAGAAAGAAAAAAGAAAAGCTACTTCAAGGTGACAGTTCTCTCTGGTCTGTAATTCCAGTTTGGCTGCCAGAATCAGATGAAACTGATCTTCAGGATGGAGAGAGAGATAGCAGTCACTCTCTTGCAATCCTGGTTGTGGGACAGAATTCTTCAAGAATTMTGCAGAGGGCTGGGGATGTGGCTCAAGCGGTAGCGCGCTCGCCTGGCATGCGTGCGGCCCGGGTTCGATCCTCAGCACCACATACCAACAAAGATATTGTGTCCGCCGAGAACTAAAAAATAAATATTAAAAATTCTCTCTCTCTCTCCTCTCTCAATCTCTCTTAAAAAAAAAAGAATTATAAAAAAAAGAAAAATTTCTCTCACTTAAAAAAAAAAAAAAAAGAATTCTGCAGAATACTGTGGTCCTGGCTGGACACTGGCATCCCCTGATGAGTTTTAAAAAWTTGTGCTTGGGTCTTACCAGTTGAGACTCTTTCCCTGGACTGGGCCATGGTCTAATATCAATTAATAGAGAACAGGGCCATCTCTGGACTGCAAAGTTAAGGAAGTCAGAGCAAGAGAGGACGTGGGCACCCAACACGAAAAGGGTCAGCGTGAACCACTAGCACAGGTTGGTGATCTCTTGAGTCTCGGTCTCCAGAGGATCCTTGAAAGGTAGCATAAGGAAGAGAGGTGGTGCGTCACAACAGGAAGGCAGGGGTCTCACAGGGCTACCCACCTGACTCATGTCATCTGCACAACTTGGTTACTCTGTTATTTTAGACAGGGTACTAGATCCAGGCAAGTTTTAGTAATTGCAATCTGAGAATTTGGAATGCTTTAGGATTGTGTTACAGGTTATATAAACTATTTCATCTTGAATGGTGAACATTCAACAAGATTAAGAGGACATTGGTGAGATGATGATGGTGGTGGCAGTGGAAAGGAATGGAGTTAACATGTGCTGAGTACTATCACAGATCTAGAATTCTAGATATTTTATCTGCACGATTTCATTCTGCCAGGTAACTGGAATCCAAAAGTGAAGTCAAATTTATGTTATTTTGTCATTTATTGTTCATCAGACAGTGCAGGTTTTATTCATATTAAACTATGTAATTAGGTTTTCTCATTTTTATTTTGATTCCATTTTACTGTCAGAAAAATGAGAAGTATCATAAATGCAATGTGTATAAAGTGTGAATAAATGTTGCCAAAGAAAGTATGGAGGCTAAGGATGGAGAAAGAAAGAAATGAACAAAAAGACCAAGAATCCAAGCAAGAGTTTTGTTGACCTGTCTTCACTGGTGAAATCTAAGTTTTTATTTAATGTAGATGTCAACACTGCAGGGGGCTAGTAAGGGACTTYTTTAAAGTGAGAAGTGATGCAAGTGTTGTGGCGTGGTCACTTCTCCAGAGCCCAGGGAGAACTCTGCTTGTCTCAGGTGCCAATTCTTAGCTCCCCAACCTTGACTTGGACTGCATTCACATCCTTGTTACCTGATGGCTTCTTTCCCATGGAATTCTGGAGACACTGGTTCACAAGAGTCATTAGATGAAGGACTGGAATCTATTTTATCTTCAAGGATCACATGATCAGCCTTTTGTTGCCGTGACCAAAACGAGGACTTCAGGAAAAACAAGGGTGAATGTTGATGTCCAAATTCATCTGCATGACCCGGTGACAAATATAAGGTCAATAAGCAATTTTAGGGAAGAGTGACACTAACCTAGCCTGGCAATACAACCCCTTTGCTGCTAAGCCTTGTTGGTCAACACAAGGCGRTACATTTTTTGTGTTTTTGTTTCTACTTTTGGTGCTGGGTAGTAAACCCAGGTAATCATTCATGCTAAAGAATGTGCTCAACTATTAAGCTAGGCCCAAGTCCCAATGAGCATGTTTTAACATGTGCAACTTCATAAGAAAAAAAAAATCACCAAGATATCTCTATTATAATAGTTATTCCTATAGGAAGCAATGAAACTTATTTATTAAAAAGTTTTCAGGAAGAATTTTAATAAACGTTCAATTAACCCTAATAAAGCCAGATATTAGAATCAAAATGCAAACCATTCTGGGCCTGTTGAATTCTGTTGTCATTTTATTAACAAATGAAGAAGATATTGGGAAATGACTACTGGAAAAATAAAACAAATATTCTAAGAGAAGATAGAATGGGACTTAACAAAACAACACATTTGTGAGAAAGGGGAAGAATGGGGCAAAAAAATTATTCAAACTCAACAGTGGAACTTTAGAAAGCAACTTTATATTCCTGTTTTATCTCATTCCTAGACAATAACTTTCCTCTAAAACACATCTATAATTTGCTGGGGATGCAGTTCATTAGCAAATGCTTGCCTAGTATACATGAGGCCCAGGTTCCATCTCTAGAACTACAATTAAAAAAAAAAAATCTACATTTGTGTGTTTCTGAACTGCCATGCTAACTAGCTATACAAAAGCAGCAAAGTGGTTTGTAACATATAAATCATACATGTATTAGGAAATCTGTTCTAGGAAAGAACGTTACTCAAATGATGTTTGATTTTAATCATAACCACTCACTTGGCAAAATTTTTTCAAAGTACATCATGAGTGCCAGATAGAGGAAAGTGTCAAAGGCCAACATGAAATGTGTTGCTATAATTAGATTGGAGCCGACMGGTGCATCAAGAAATGCATTAGAATTTACATCATAATCCAAGTGTAAAAGCTGAAAATTAAAAAAAAAAAGATAAGGTACATTTGTGATACATTTTAAATAATTTAAATAACAAGAATAAGATGGCTACTTATTGTCTCCTCCTGGGAATAGAAATTTAAACAAGGAGATGGCCTACTTGATGGTTGTCAAATGTATCAGAAGGCATGGACAGTTGAGAAACTGTAACAGGTGTTAACAACTGTGGTGAGGAAAGTGTGTTCTAAATGAAATTGGAGCATTAGGAGGAGGTAGGGAAACATGGCAAATGATGGCACTAGAGCTAAATTTAGACTTTTACCAAATAATACACAGTCAAAAGAAGGGTGAGTCCTGAAAATGGCTGCATAACAAATAATTTTTATTCTGGAAAAAAATAGTMGTGATATGTTAAAAACAAACAATCAAACAAACAAACAACAACCCAGTAGGGTCTATGATATTCTAATGAAGAATTGCTTTATTATTAACCATTCTTTTCTTAAGCACTAAAAACCAGATATTTCGTGATTGGCATCACCATTTATTTGGAAGGAAGGCAACGTGAGTTCAATAAAATAAAAGAAAAAAAWTTATGAAAAGAAACAGTTTGCCAGTTAGTTAATATGTTTTCAAGGTATTTTTAGCTTGATGATGTATGTTGTCTTAAATTGCTAAATCAAAATATGAACAGAAGCTGAAGCCACAGAAATAGAGAGCAGAAGAGTGGTCACCAGAAGCTGGGGAGGGTCCAGGGAGGAGGGGATGGGGAGAAGTGGATCCATGGGCACAAAGTGACCTTAGAGGGGAGGAAGCAGCCTGGGGCCCTACTGTATGTAACGTGAYTAGAGCTCACAACATGGTGTTCATAACATCAAATATGTATTTAATAGCCAAAGAAAATGCTTTTATGGTCTCCAAAGGATTTTGTATTGATCATTCACCCCCTGCCTTTGGTTTAGGCTTATTTTGCTGGGCTAAGTACTTTCAAAGCTTTTTAAAGTTCAGCTTTGCAAAATCAAAAAGTCTACAGGAGGGTTTTAAATTTCACCATGTTGAAGTATAAAAAACTATTACAGATTCTTCTTCTTCTTCTTTTTTTTTTTTTTTTTTGATTACAGATTCTTCCAGAGAAGAAAGATGCTTCTCATCGATCATTAGATGGCTTCTTACCTGGGACATTCCAAGGGTGAAAGCAAACGGGCTAAGAAAACTGAAAATCCACTCCAAAGACAYTGGGAGATATCTGTACAACGCTGTGAATCCAAGGCTCCCCCAGAAGACAGTAAGGAGGAATACCACTAGGCTAGTGAGGAAAGACTTCTTCACCACGATGCTCATCAGGAAAGCCAAAGCAATCTAAACAAGAGAAGACCCAACTGGGTAAGGTCCCTCCAGGAATTATTAGTGGCATGATAACAGGAGGGATTTTACATACAACATTTTAGTTCTATTATTAGTTTGCATGTAATGAGTGAAATTATTATTTTGCCAATTGTATTAATAATTGACATCACAAAGCATTACTAATCCAATTGTACACACCTATAGATTTTTGCATGCAACTAGAGCAGGCAGAAAACAGATATGTAGACTAAATAAGTTAATCTGAAACCAACAGTTTGATTTTTAAGGCAAGAGATAGGGAAAAATTTAATTCATCAACTCACCAGTGACAATCCATAAAGGAGAAAGAGGGTGAAAACTACCAGGAAGTTGGTCAGAATAAAAAACTGGGTAGATTTTATAATAAGTGCCAAGAAAAGGGCCATAATGAAGATGAAGCTGGCATAGAGCAAACCCCAGGAGAGCCTGGTGTAAAAACAGAGCTTTGTTTTAGTACTTAGTGTTCAGTTGAAAAGAAGGACCCACCATGGATTGCACTGTAATTTTTCATTGTTCATTTGCCCACTCATTCATTCATACATCCATGCTGTTGTGCAGCAGATATGTATTGTCTATTCTAGGATATGCTATTACAAACTAAAACTTTTAAAACAGAATTCATAAGGAATTAAGAATATTCTTTTTCTGAAAAATAATTTCAGAAACACACATGCACACACATCATTATAAACAAAAAAAGAAATAATTAGGTTTCAAGTCTGATGAATCTGGGTTGCAACATTTCATTTTGGACTTTCTTACCCTGTGACTGTGGGAAAACTCTGTAACCAATTTTTCTCCCCTTTATTCCTCTGAAATTAGAAAACTATACTATGGTGAGAACTTGGTGAGGTGAGGTTATGTGGGTCATYGTCTTAGTTCATGGTAGCCCCTTTGTGAATCCCTGATATCTTTTTCTCTAGAAGCTTAAAGGGTGAGAAGCCTCATAAATTTCCTTGGAGATAAGAAATTACTCCTCATGGTGAAATTCTGTCACTTCTCTTACCAAAAGCTCTTTTCACCGTTCTCTGCATGAATACATCAAGTAGTCTACATACTTGCCCTTAATTCCACTCATTTTCCAGTGAGATAGAGTGATAAAAATCATATCATTTACTTTGTTTCAGAATAGCCCACTATGCTTTTCTTATCAATTTCTTTATCTTGTTTTACAGTCTTCTTTAGAGAGTACAATGAAATAAAGATACTTTWAAAAAAATCAAAAATAGCTGCAAGACCAACACAATAATAGCTAGCACATAGAGCAATTATTATGTATTGGGCAAGTGTTTTAAAAACTTAGCAAATAGTAAATCATCTGCTTCTCACCATAGCTGAATGCAGAAATGACACTTCTRTGTTTTACTCATGTTATTGACAGAGAACCCATTGAACAAATATGTTAACAGTCTCAGATCCAAGTGTTTGGCTCTAGAATCTCCAGATTTCACTGCTCTGCTATAATTTCCTCTAATATTAATTCAGTAAAGAGGTCAATACTGATTTTCAGGATTTTAGCACAGAAGGAACTCTAACTCCTAATTGATTATAATATGCCCAATCCACCCATCTTCCTCGCTTCACTGGTACTTTCGTCCTTCTCCATGCCCTGTCAGTCAGTTAATTACTCTCGAGGTCTCACACAGAACCTTGTCCATTCTTGGAATWACTCAAGCTTTGACTTCTGCCCTTGCAGTCCCGTGCTAGCTGGAATTCCACCTCCATCTGGCAGAGATGCTGACCTCTGTCTTAGCCATTCCATTATCACAACTGCCCAGCAAACTAAACCCGAGAGAATCACAGTCACATTTGGTCTCGTCCTGGCAAACATTATACCAAGGGTGACTTATTGCATTCGGAGGATAAAGGAAAAAGTTAGAAAATCATTAGGCTTTAATAAAGATACATTGCAGACGCCCACTTTTCCTGAGATTCTCCATTGAGAACACTGTGCTACAGCCAGCTCACCAGAACGTTGAATCCTGCGGGTCCATCATGGTCATCAAGGCCTTCATCGKTTTCCTCTCCCTCGTGACATTGATGGATGCATAGTAAATGAATGGGGAAAAGGAGATGATGCAGAAGAAAATGAAAAAAATCAGTTGTGGTTCCTCCTTGACTAATAAAGGGCTGTATCTTCATGTATCTTCCGGTAACTGACATAAGTTCCTCCATGACTGAATGATTTGTTGTGGTCTGAAGAAGGATAATAATAAATAAAATTTCCACTCTGAATGACGTGCTGGGTTTCGTGTCTCTGTTTTTATCATCTCTTTTCCTAGAAATGTGCAATCCTTCTAGGATCTGAAGTTGGCCTACATTTCCACATCCGTGTACTGCACTGGCCCACCTGGATTTTGGATTCCAGGCTTTCCATAATTCTTAGCATTACTGTGTTTGACTATCTCCCCACCCAATGTCACTTCATGATTTCTTTGCAATGCCTTTTCTGATCTTAGATTTGACAAATCCCTCACCTCAAGCTTCTAGTTTAATTGCCATTTTAATGAGATTCTTTCCACAGCTTTATASGCTGGGAAACTTGCTTGTTTGTTTACAAGGACATTTGATATGCCCATGATCACCTACTTCYGTTCTATTGATGTCCTTATTATATCCCTGGTTTCCTGACAACATTTCTTCTCTGTATGCCTTATTTCCTAACGACATACAGCAAATTTAGTAGTCTTTGTTGTAAAGATACAAATGAGTAAATGAAAGAACRGGGCTAGCCATTTATAYTTCCTTCCATGAGACTTCTAGTACYTCTGGTATAATTAGTTTGCATGGAAAATTAGTTTTCATTGAACATTTTGTACTCAATTCTATAATAGCAGCATTAATGGCAGCTTGAAGAGCCACAAAACCTTCCTTCCAGAATATTGAGATGTAACAGTCAACATCTTCATCTTCTTCAAAACAATGAGCTTTGTGATTAAAAAAGACAAGAAATCATCACTAGAATTATATCAATTCTGATCACAGGAAATGGGCTTTTCAGTGGCCCTTAATTCAAATGGACTTATTTTGGCTCTAAAACATGAAAACATAGGTTATAGTAATGATTCTCCAAACGAGTCAGGCGGAGCTGTCTTGGGGAACATTCTGCCTGTAGTCATCTTTCTCATACCACCTTTTGTGCTTCTCTGCCAATCAAGAATTTTGTGGAACTCATTCTATTTCTGCATTGTGAAAACAATATCTTTTTGATATTAGTTTTAGTCAGCTTTTTCATCACTGTGACCAAAAGACCTCACAAGAATGAAGTTTGATGTTCATGGCTTCAGAGCTCTGACAGCTGACTCTGTAGCCTGGGGCCTGAGATGAGAAAGAACGYGATGGCAGAAGGGCAGGGTGGAGGAAAGCAGCCTAGGACATGGTAATCAGGAAACAGAGTGAGTCATACTCACCTCGGACAAAATGTGTACCCCAAAGGCTGCCAGTGATCTACCTCCTCCAGCTACACCCTACCTGCCTACAAACACCATCAAGTTCATCCGTTCAAGTGGAGCAATGCATTGATTAGGTTAAGGCTCTCATAACCCCATTATTTCACCTCTAATTTTTTTTGCATTGTCTTCCATGTAAACTTCTGGGGCACACCTCATATCTAAACCATAACAATGTTCTTCAAAACAGCAGGATTTCTAGTATGCATTGAGAAACACTGAAATACAGCTTGTTCTAACATGGGGTACAACACAGCATAAAGAGTCAAATGGAAGTTTGAATAAAGAAACTCACTGTGCTTAAATCATGTCAATCAAAATGTCTTTTGAAGAGAAAAGTTTATTTATTAAAAAAAAAGAAGATCTACCAGTCCATTGATATTAATATATTTAATGTAGCTATTTTATATATGAACTATGTTTAATATGTTGAGTATATTTATAATATTTAATGAAATTATATTAAGGTGATAGTCTTTAATAAGATTAATTAAAGTTAAATATAGGAATCAAATGCATATTGCATTAAGATTTTAAATATTTAAAAATTATTTTGAAATATTTCAGATCTACAAATAATATAAAAATAGACACACATGTACCTATCACCAAATTTTAAAAATAAATCATTACAAATACAGTTGAACTCCTCTACATACTGTCTAAATGTTGTTTCCTAAGCACCAATCCTTGAAGTAGCTAATGATGTTTCTGAACTTCATGTTTACATATGTCTTTAGGCTTTTACTGTGTAACCCTAAACTATATAAGTGATTTTTAAACATAAACTCTATTTAACCCATAGATCTCATTATGTTCATTATTCTGCACTTTACTTCAGTTGTTATGTTTAATAACTTTGAAATCTGTCTAAATAGCCCTATTTATTTCTTCTTATGATTATGGAATCCCATTGTAGAAATGTGAACCAATCAATTTATTTATCTACTCTCCTGATATTTGGGTTAGTTCTTTTTTTCTTTTTACTGTTGTCCCCAGCCTCCATTAAAAAAAAAAAYCTAAAATTTTCTTTTTAAAAGGCAAATTTAAATATAAAAATAAAAGTATCTAAGCTACTTGTTTCTACTCTTATCCCCAGCCTCGATTAAAAAATCTAAAATTGTTTTTCATCCAGGGGAAGGAGACTGAAAGCTATATTTTTTTTGAAGAATTTTTTTATATTTTATCATGAATGTGTGTGTATCAGTCAGGATAGTCTATGATATGCTATAGTAACAAATTACCTCTAAACCTCAACATATCACCATAAAAGCTTATTTCTTACTCAGGCTACAAGTTCAGCAAGGTTCTTTGGTCAGAGGTTGGGGGATATTCTATTCCACATTAAACTAAGGATTTCTAAATGAAATGAGTTTTCTGCACTATTATATGTGACTCATTCTGCTTGTAGGAGCAGGTGAAGAAAGATGAGAAATCCATACTTGCTTTTAAAATGCCTTGAGTCTGGCTCTTTACTGAGAGCTTCCTAAGCCCTCAAGAAGGAGAGAACAGGCTACCAGTCTTTAATGTAGGATGAGAGTTTTACTAAAAAGATTTTTATGATGATGGGTTATATTTATTCAATTTTTGCAAAATTTAGAAAATTATATGATACTGGATAGGCATGCTCTTTTCTACATATCCTAGTCAATACTTTGTACTATTGTTAGTTTTTGCAAATCTAATGAATGTGAAATGATGTAACAAGTGGTTTCAAAATACAGTTCTCTGATTGCTAATGCAGGTAGAAATCTCTCCACGTGCTTAATCTTGATCTGTGTTTCATGTTTTGTGAAATACCTGCCATGTCTTTCAATAATGTCTTATTTTGAGGTCTTTTTCTTATTTATTCAAAGAAAATCTTCATATATTCTGAAATCATCTTTTGCTAGTTTTATTTGTTATCAATATCTTTTTTCAATTCTACCTCAAATTCTCACTATCTATACAGTATCTTTGGATAATAAAAATTACTTGATTTTTATCTAGCTGAATATATCTATCTTTTATTTTATAGTTTMTATATTTTTCTTTTGCAAGAAAGTCCTCCTATCCAATAGTTATAAAAGTATGTTCTTATACTGACTTCCAAAAGTTTTGCAGGACTTTTMAAATTCTTTTACCTAAAATTGGTTGTTCTGTACGAGATAATTTTATTTTGTTCTTTATGTAGAGACAATTTTCCCTGAAGTTCTCAACATTAATTGGTAATGTCCTCTCAGTCATATATGAGTGTCCATGTTTTTGTGAGAAATTTCCAAGATTCTCTCTTCTCTGTCATTGGCCTATTCATCTGTGGCAGTAACATACTGTCTTAATTTCTTATTTCATTTTAAAAATGAGTAGCTTGGATACTTTGTTTTGATATTTAAATTTGCCTTTTAAAAAGCAAATTTTAGAATGAATATGTCAACTTCTCTGAARAAGTCTATTATTCCTTAGATTACTTGCTTATTTTATATTCTCAGTTTTATAATTCCACTGGGAAATATATTTGTCTGTCTATCTATCTATCTATCTATCTATCTATCTATCTATCTATCTATCTACATACATACATACACACAGCTTGGGCAATTCTCTTGACTCTCGTGGTGCCTTGTTTTTACATATTGGAGAGTAAATTTACATTTAGAGATATTTTGTCTCTGCTGTCTGAGTTGAGGTCGTATTTTTCTAGAGAAAATTTATAATATCCTCTGTCAGGCACCCCAGGGTCTGACTAGCCTAGGAGCACTTTATATTTTTTAGTTGAGATTTTTCAGATTAGCTTCTCAAGTTAAGGAAGAACTCTAGACTCAGGAGAAAGTGACTGAAAGCTATGATTTTCTTAAGAATTCTCTTTGTATTAATTCTCTTTGTATTAATTATCTTTGTATTAATTATCTTTGTATTATTTGTATTATTATGTTCTCTCCAAAGGGAGAACAACAAACTTCATTTTATTCTTTTTTTGGCAACAGGTGTCTCTTTTTTGGTGAACTCTTGCTGAGTACACAGCCCTCCAGATTCCAAATTAATTCAGGAAACTTCATCTTTCACAAACCCAAGATCTYCTCTGTTCCCACATAGCTACTAAAACCCAAATCTCTTGGTTGCTGAGCTTGGCAAAGTCATATAGCATCAATAATAACCAATTAACACTGAGTTTGGTGCCCTCTCCATTTTAGACCTTCKAGAATTGCCCTTACTTTCATATGGATTTACTTAAGCATTTAAAYGGAAGTTTGTTCTATTTTATCCATAAATTTTATTTTACCTTAACAACCATATATTACAGCTATATATCACAGATAATGTATGTTTATATGTATATGTGTACATATGTATACATGTAAGTCATGTCTGGATATATATATATATATATATGGCTATATATAGTGATCATATATTGAATATGTTAGTTTACTCAAAGATGAAAGCACATTTTTTTGAATGTGTAGAATGACATGGACATCACCATGATAGAGATGATCTAACTTGACATAKTAACATCTGTTTCTATGAATGGCTCAAACATAAATGAAATAGTGATCAGTGTGATCATATGGCTGGAAAGTTACCTGTATGGTCCCTGTGTTCCTTACTGATCGGGATTCTTTGTCTCAACAAGAATTTCAGATGATATGAGTATGTGTTTGTAAAGATGACTCTTACTATTTCCTCATGATAATCTGCTTTCAATTCTTTAATGCTTTCTTCATCTGATAGTSCCATGACTTCTTTACCTGCCATTACAAGAAAGCGATGTTATTAGTAAATTACCGGGAGACTCACCTTCGAGATGTCATGTTCAATAGTTTTTACTAGAGTTCTTTATGAAAATAAAATGAAATCATGTATTGACTTTGGCAGAGTCATGAAATCTAAAATGTTGGGGGAAGATGTTTCTAAAGTTTCATTTAGATACCATCAGAAGAAACACATAAAATTTAGTTATTTTTTTCCCACATGTTGTGATTATTGAGCCAATTTCATCAACATAACACATACTATACCAATTAAACTATTTGTAGAATAATTAGTATTCTAATAAATCTAAAATTGCATATAGGTATACAATTAGGCACTTGTTGATACTGGAAATAAATATAGTTATTTTCCTGTACAAATCCTGACAGTAAGGTGAAGAAATTCAAAAAAAGAGAGAATTTTTCAAAATATGTAGAGTGCCTATGTTGACATAACTGTGCCTATGTTGACATAACTTAAACGAATCCTTTATTTCCAACAAAGGAGAAGTATGTTCAGTTTCCCATTTTAGCAATTTTGATAATTGACACAATTTTATCAGCTGAAATGTAAATTAAGTGCCTGCATCTGCATGGATTCTGATGTCACATATTCCTTGTGGATTGCTAGACAACTCACCTGTCATGAAGGAGGTGGTAGCTACTTTGCTCATTATCTGTTGGGTTACATTGGTGACAGGCATGTATTCAATTGCAAATTTGGATTCATTAAATGAATCTACCCTTCCGAGGTTCACAGGAGGCCATAAAGAAAAGTCTTCAACTTGATGACCAATAGGATAGAAGTACAAACAAAGTAGGAGAAGCAACGCATTCATCCATTCCTATGCAGCCCGAGAATGAGGAGAAAAAATTGTGATTTCAAATTGTTCATCCATAGTCATTTGTCATAGACTTCGTCCCTTTGTTCCTTTTTAAAATTTCAACACATCTTGCAATATGAACCATTTAAATATGTATAAAACAAACTGAGTAATTTCAATGAACTATTAATAGTAATTCAARTGGATTGAGCATCAGTACCAGTGCTAAAGGACTGATCATGAGAAATGAAACGCAACAGGACACGCCACTTTAAATTATTGTCAGCTAGTGTTACTTTGGTAACACACTCATTGATGTATTTGATTCTGCTGAAAGTCCCCGTGTTGAAGAGACCCAGAGCATTGCTATAGGGATGATATGCCCAGTTTCAGACATTGGAAATTCAACAGAGTGATAACGAGGAACACTGTTTCAGTAATTAGTTATAAATCCTGGTCACTTGCAAATTCCCATTAAGAATCACCATATTTCCCAAATGCATAATTTTAAAAAGATTTCACTATGTACATACAGTATAATTCCCATTTAATTCAATATGCTACCTTGCTCTATGAAACTGATTTTAAAAGATACCAAAGTTCAACCAGGCTTTTCATTACATGGTACCATTAAAAAGTAATTTTCTTCTTGGCACTTATACATTTCCAAACTTTGTACTACTTTTGAAGAAAATGATTTTTTTTATTGTTGGTCGTTCAAAACATTACATCTTTCTTGATATATCATGTTTCACAATTTGATTCAGAAGGGTTATGAACTTCCATTTTTACCCCGTATACAGATTGCTGAATCACATAGGTTACATCAGTTACATTTCCATTGATTTACACATTGCCATTCTAGTGTCTGATGAAT